ACTCCCTGTATAGCTATCCTTATCTCAACTAACAAAAACCCTTGGTCCTTCCTGTTATTGCTTATACTCTCTCTTCAACAAAATTAGAGATAAGGGTAAAATAGTTTCTGCCGGGTAGCGAGGGGTAAGGGGGGGTAAGGGGGAGGGTAAAGGGGGGGTAAGGGAGGGGGTGGGGGGAAGGGGGGAGAAATGACCCAAACATTGTACGCACATATGAATAAAATAAAAATTAAAAAAAAAAAAAATGAAGAAGTGGTATGGTGAAAGGACTTGCCCAAGTTTATGTCTTAATTGCTTACCTAGCCTGGTACCAGTTTAACACCATTTTCCACATTTCAAATCCTTTCTAGTAATAGTAATACTAATGTTAATAGTAAAAGTAATAGCAGCCATAGTAGCAGTAGTATAATGTCTAACATTTGAGTACTCATACAATGTTCCAGTCAGTGTTCTTTCTAAGTGGTTTATATGTATTTAATTTACTCTTTTAATCCAAACAATATTCTTGAATTCAGTACCCCATTCCATTTTATAGATGAAACTAAGGCACAGTTTATTTTTCCTTCTTCATTAGGTATGGTTTAAAATCTTAAAACTGCCCATGAAGTTAAATTTATTTATATGTATGGCTAATGCTTTTTAATTGTTTACTGCTAACTTTTTGTTTTTGTTTTTTCACTTCAGTGAAACTGCTTTTGGTTACAAGGGTCTCAAGATCCTGTTATACTATATTGCTGGTAGTCTGTCAACAATGTTCCGTGTTGAATACGCATCGAAAGTTGATGAGAACTTTGACTGTGTGGAGGTAAGAACAGAAGTACATCTATTTTCAATGGAGTTCTTAAACTCCAATTGAGTTTAAGAGAGGTTTTAAAATTTAAATGTTTAGGGAGAAGCTCTCTAATACAGTAGTTTTAAAATCACATACTCAGGTTTAGTTATGAAAGTATTTATCTCCTTATTTCAATTAACCCTTGTGATTGTGGTCTTAGTCTGTTCATTTCTGGTTGGAACTTCTCTATAAAAACCTTTACTTTTATGATCATAGTTTTTATTTTATTTACCAGCTTTTCTGTAGACATGGTAATTAGTTCTTTTCTAGATACCAAAGAAGATAGATACCTATCTATTTTTTGAGACTAGGTCTTGCTATGTAGCCCCAGACTGACCTTGATCTCTTAATCCTCCTACCTTCATCTCCTGAACAATGAAATTACAGGCACATACCATTCTGCCTAGCTTAATATTTTACTTCTACTTCATATAGAATCTATGTAAGTTTCTCTTGCTACATTTCTATTTCTACAAAATTTTGCTAATTTATTCCTTTATGATCATGGATACTTAAGATGAGTACATTATAAAACTATTTGCAAGGAGTTTCAAAAGGAGGTGAAAATGGAGACAGATTTTAAAAATATGCATCAGTAGTTGGCTGAATAATGGCCTCCTTAAAGATATCATGTCTTAATTTCTGGAAACTCTTGATATTACCTCATATACCTGAAAAGCCCTTTGTAGATATGATTAAGAATTTTAAGACTATACTGGAATGACTGGGTGGGCGCTAAATGCAACCATATGTATTTTATGAGAGGGGGTTAGAAAGAGATGTGATGATAGACAGAAGAAGACAATATAGTTTGACCACAGGGCAGAGTGATGTGGCCATAAGCCAAAGAATGTTTAACCATTAGAAGCTGAAAGAGGTAGCTTGGGTGTGATAGTGCCCTTAGTGTACTCCTGTAATCTGAGCATTGAGGCTGAAGAAGGAAAATTGAGACAGCCTGGGCTGTATCAAGACCCTGTCTCAAAAAACAAAACCCAGAAGCTGAAAATAGGCTTCTTTCAACCAAGACAAGAATTTAGAGCCTCTAAGGGGGTGTGGCCCCTTGATTATGGCCTACTGATACTAGACTTTGCCTCTAGACAGAGAAAATAATTAAAGTAACCAAGTTTGTACTATAGCAGCCATAGGAAACTAATCCAGATTTCCATACTAGGAGGGAGTTAAGGTGCTACTATTACATAACTAAAAATCTAGCAGTAACTTTGGAAATGGGTAGAGGCTGATAGAATTTTGAGGAACATCGTAGAAAAACAGATTACTTTGAATAGACTCTTGGTAGAAATATGGGTTTTAAAAGCTACTACTGGTTAGGACTCAGAATAAAGTTCGGAGTTTGGTAAAGAAAGCGTACATTATCTTATAGAATGCATACATCATCATAAACATAATTTTGGTTAGAAATACAAACTTTAATGGTGCATCTGTTGTGGCTCCGAGTTTGGAAACTGGAGAAAAGGAGATCCTTGTTACATAATGGCAGAAAGCCTAGCTGAATTGTATCCTGCAGTTATATGGAAAGAAGAATTTGTAAGCACTGAACTTGGATATTTAGCTGAGGAGATTTCTAGGCAAAGTATTGAAGATATGGCCTGGTTTAGGGAAGAGATAAATTAAACGAAGAACTGTTAAGCAAAAAGGATTCTGGATTTGGGAAATTCTCAGCCTGTCCAAATTGCAAAAGAGACGAAGGTAGGAGATAAACTTTTTCTGGAGAAAGAGCCTAGTGTGGCAGGGTAACTTTTTGCTAGTGCTGAAGAGATTAGGTACATACTTTATGGACCGCCAAAACAGAGATTTGGGGAAGATCTTTGTGATATACATGAGTGACCATACATCAAAAAGAGAAACTCCAGCTTGGTCTGAAAGAAAAAAAGTGAGGGAAGGCTAATGAATTTCCCTAATTCCATGAGCAGGAAACAAGGTGATCAAACTGCTCAACTGCAAACATGTGCCTTCAAGAAAAAGGGAGAATGACTCTGAGGGCGGAGCTAGAGGGTACAGTTACTATCCCTTGGCCTTGAAAGCTAGTGGAATTTACCCTGCTGGATTCTTTTTGTTGCTTGGTACTAGTAACTCCTTCTTTTGATTTTTCTCCATTTTCAAATGAGAAAATCTATATTGTCTATGCCTGTCCCACCATTGTGTTTTGGAAGTAACACACAGTTTCATAGCTTCATAGATGGAGAGGAATTTTGCCCAAGATGTAGCACACCTCGAATCTATACCTGATTTAGATAGTTTAGATGATGAGATTTGTGGCTTTTGAGCTGTTGTATTTAGGTGAGATTTTAGACTGAGTTGATGCTGTAATGCTTGAGACTTTACAAGCATCAACTTGTAAAGTTGGGCTGGAGTGAATGTATTTTATGTGTGGGATAGTCATGAACCTTTGAGGGCCTTAAGAAAACTGTAAGAATACATAATGTTCAGTTTGTAGACATTTCTTCGTTTAAAGGCAGTGAAATGTCAGTAGTTCAGAGTTGATTTTTTTAAAATTAAATCTCCTTTTTGTCACTGCATTATATTTACATAATTGAAAATTATATTCTTTTGGTAGAATCTGTTGTCCTTTGTACTTATGAATCCAGCAGGTTTAGTAATTATATCTGTCAGATTGTTGGCAATATGTTGCATGCAACTAGGCAGAAAATTAAAATGTGGAGAATATATTACTACATACTGGGTGTCATAACTTTCTTTTGTAAAAGTAGTGGTTCCTAAAGTGTTAACACTGGATCCAACTTTTTGAAGGTTTTAAACTGCCTTTAACTTCTGACTTAACATCTTTTGCCAGCCCAGTACTCACCTTTTTTTTTTTTTTTGGTTAAAACCTATTATATCTTGAACTGACTTTTTTGGCTTTTTTGATTTTTTGTTTTTTTATTATAAAGGTCTTGCCCAGAGTCATACAACTAATATATAATCAGTAGATGGTCACTTAGTAGTATCATGCATAATATATAGTAACCCTGATTTTAAAAAATGTTAGTAGCTGAGGTTGGTGATGTATACCTGTAATCTCAGCACTCTGGAGGCTAAGGCAGGAGGATTATGAGTTAGAGAGCAGCCAGGATTACATAAAAAGACCCTGTCTCAAAAAAAAAAAAAAAAACCCAGAAAGATGTTGGACAGAGGCCAGGGGGGTAGCTCACCGGTAGAATGTGTGCTTGGTGTGTGTGAGGCAGTGCATCAATCCCTAGCACCAAGAAAAAAGAAAAAAGATGTTAGGACTGTTTATGATCTGTTCTAAATGGGTCCATGCTCTTGTGCTTATTACTTATTTCTGTTGTTTACATTGTATATTTTCTCACTTCTCCCACATCTGTTTGTTTTTTTTTTATGGTAGGACTAGAGTTTGAACTCCACACTTGCAAAGCAGGCACTCTACTGCTATAGCCACATCTCCAGCCCCTGTTTTTATTAATTGATGCATAATTATACATATTTATGAGGTACAATGTGGTGTTTCAATACCTGAAAGCAGTGTGTAATGATCAGATCAGGATAACTGGTATAACTATCACCTCAAATCTTTATCTTGAAATAATCTCTCTACTTTGTTTCTTCTTTTTGTTTTTTGGTGATACTGGGGTTTGAACTCAATCATACACTTGCTAAGCAGGCACTTTACCACTTCAAGCATATCCCCAACCAGTTTTTGCTTTAGTTATTTTTCAGGTAGGGTTTCAAGTTTTTCCTGGGGGGTTGGACCATGATCCTCCTGCCTATAGCCTCCCAAGTAGCTGGGATTACAGGCACGAGCTACCGTGCCTGGCCATGAAATAGTTTCATATTGATTACAAAGTGTTAGGGTTAGAAATATTTTGAGTACTACTTGATTTTTTTTGTTGTTGTTTTCTTTCATTTCTTAGCTTGTTTGAAACTACTAAGCTTGCCAGCCAAATAAGTAACTATATAACTTAATATTTATTTTACCCACCAGTTTGTGTCCCTTGGAAAATTTTTTACATTTTCAGACATAAAGGTGATTCTGAATAATACTGTAGTTATAATAGTAATAATAATGAAATTGTGTTTGAAGCTTCTTTTTTTTTTTCTTTTTTGGCAGCACTGGGTTTTGAATTCAGGACCTCTTGAGCCACTCTGCCAGCCCTTTTTTTGTGATGGGTTTTTTTATTGATAGGGTCTCACAAACTGTCTGGGACTGGCTTGGAACCTGATCCTCTTGATCTCTGCCTCCTGAGTAACTAGGATTATAGGTATGAGCCACCAGGGCCTGGCTGTTTGAATTAGACAAACTAGCACTTAATACAGATTAATTAAAATGGAGCTTTTCCATAATCAAAATTTTCTTAATAGATGGTTAAATTCTCCAGACCCAAGCCCAGCTAGATATTCTTATTAAAAATCCTGGTAATGCTGGATGTGGTGACTCATCCACACACATGTAATCCTAGCTACTTAGGAGGTTGAGAGTCTGAGTTATTCTCAGACACAATGCTTTATGCAATGATGAGGAAAAGCAAAAATTGCTCCATAGGAACACCTTCTTGTACAACAAAGCATAGAACACTGGAACTTAGAATGACAATAGTGAGAGGGTATATACCTTAAAAACATTTCATTATGATTCACTTACTATAAGACCTAATTAGAATACTTTTACGTTTTCTTTTTTTTTTTAAAGAAATTGCCAATTGTTAGAGAAACATTTGTAAGGGGCATCTTTATTAATTAAACACATCAAGTTGTAATCTTGGTCTGTTCCACTCTCTATTTTTACATGATTTTAATTGAAGTTTAGAATAATGTTGTTGAAGATAGGCTATTTTTCAGTGGTCTTCAGAAGTAGAACCTAAATTTTAATCACAAGCATTGAAACTAAAAGTTTTTAGTTCATTTTAAACTCTACACTCAATTAAAGATGATTATATGGAGTTTTTCTCTAGTGATAGTTATCTAATATGAAAAGTGAGTATTTTAGAGCTAAAATATACATTCTAGAAAAGAGTACAGATCTCTGTAAGACAAGGTGATTATAAGATTTGTTTTTTTAATTTGGAGGCTACTCAAAAAGCTAAACATTGATCTACCATTTGATCCAGCAATACCACTCTTGGGGATATACCCAAAAGACTGTGACACAGGTTA